AGGGTTAAATATGTTTTTAGTCCCTAAACTATTGGCCGTTTCTGGTTTTCGTCCCTCTTCCAAAGTAAGGTACAATTTGGTCCTCATTCTTTAGAAAAACGTTCGTTTTAGTCCTCAAAATTTTGTTTTTAGTCCTCGTTTTAGTCCTCAAAACGTTCGTTTTTTCGACTAAAACGAACGTTTTTTAAAGATTGAGGACTAAATTGTACCTTACTTTGGAAGAGGGACGAAAACCAGAAACGGTCAATAGTTTAGGGACTAAAAACATATTTAACCCATCTTTAAATTATAAAAATTTTAAAAAATTATAAAAAAAATTAATTAATTAATTAGAGTGTGAGAAGAAATAAAAGAATTGTGAATGAAAAAAAAGGAAGGGAAAAGGAAGAGAGATGAGAAGAGAAAATATTATTTAGCAAACATTTATACTCAATTGACACATTATTTTTCATTCTCCTACTATAAAAATCACGTTAAATAAGTGTAAATATGTTAACCTACTATTACCAAATGTGAAATAAGCATGTAGAGAAAATAAGAAAACTATTTTAATATACAGAAAAAATCTCTGACAAGATTTTTTTCAATTTTTAAAAATTGATTAACATTTTAATTACAAGGCATAATGAGAATTTTTAAAAAATTTGGAAGTACAGGCTGACACTGGAGGTACAGGATGAGATGTCCTTGGATTTTGAGTATATAATCTCTAAATTTTGAGAAATGGATTATTCCAAAATTTATTGTTGCTGACACACCCATAACTTAGCATTATATTACATTTTGTAGGTAGATTTTTCTCGGTTTGAGAAAATACGTAAATCTTGAAACATAGTTTGATTAATTTTGTTTAGTGTCCTAACTTACAATTTCACACTCAGATTTTGATGTCCTACTCATTCATTCATTTATATCCATTCATTGGAGACAATAAAATATCTACTTTTTTTTTTGCATTATTCCTATTAGGTAGAAACTTAGTTATTCGCTTTAAATTTAACACAATCGATCTACTCATTCTATCAAAGACCACCATGTTCTTTCTCCTTCAAAATTTTCCTAATATATATATATATATATATATATATAGTTTCATCCGTAATACATTTACAAGTTAGGTTGTGTATCAAGTTTCCAAACTAGTGACGAGTAAGATTTTAGCATTTTTAACTCATGACTTCTTCTAATAATACATTCTTCTTCATAACCTATTTGCTACTTCAAATATAAGTGCTTTCTGCATAATCACAATTATTTGATTTTTGAGGATTTTTTTATTAATCAGTTTGTTTCCAAGATTTTGATGTGGTAGTTTTATATTTTTGATGTATTTACGGTAACTTGTATACCTCTTTTGTTTTATCTAAATATAGATCCAAATGATACATTTTGGCCTTTGGCGTACATTGTTTATTTTTTATGTCATTGTTTATAATTTTTGTATAGTTAATATTAGTTTATTTATTTTAATAATTTTTGTGTTGTCATTATAGGAGTTTTTATGAAACAGAACCATTATTTATGTTTTTTCATCTTATTAAAAATCAAAACTAAAATTTTGGAATAATCCATTTCTCAAAATCTAGAGAATATATACTAAAAAGCGAATTATATACTTAAAAGCAATATGTGTAATGACGAAGGGACCCTTTTTTGCCGTTTCTCTAACCAGGCTGTTGAAATCATAACGGCTAGTTAACCATTTTTATTTTAAATACGTTGGCGGCTAGAAAACCAATTTCTTACCTTACTACAATCCCACACAATATTCGCATAAAGAAAGAACTAAAGCAAAAACAAGACGCTCCGAAGAGAAGAAAAGAAAGACTATGGCAGAAACTCAGTACTGCGTACCAATAATGGAAGACGAAATAGAAATAAACGATGACTTCGAGAACTTTGAAGCTCCCAAGTTCGTGGATTTCACCGCACCTGATTCTTGCCGTCCCGGCGATGACAGCCACTGGTTCTGCTCACGTGTTGGTAGTTTAACTTCTCACTTCTTTGATCTTATTCCAAATCTTTTTCGTCTTCTTTGGTTACCAATGACATGACTTTTTCTAATAATAGGATGTGACCGAAAGCATGAGCAAGAGTTGGATTCTGAAACTATTTACAAGAAGTTTATTCTTAGGGTTAGTTGGTCTTTTCTTCTTCATCTTTGTTTCGTTCACTCTACTAATTATGGACATAAATATAATGGTGATTGGGTAAATGGATCTTGGATTTTTAGGTTATGGCTGCAAGAAGTCCCAATGTACGCCTCAAAAAAGCTTTGAAAAAAAGAGAAGCAAGGTAGCGCATCCTTAAACCAACAAACTAGTTTATACACTCACCTTGATCAATGTGAAACTTGTAACTGGAAAACATTCTTTAATTAAAAAAAAAGCTATTGTGGTAGTTTTTACCTATTAAAAATCTATTGTCCATTAAAAATCTATAATCTTTCATTGATTGTTAAATGGTGTGGTTGTCAACATATAACTTTCCTTCTTTAATATCTTCAAGAACGTTTTAATCATTATGAGTGATGTTTGGTTGTTTCTTGCAGCGCAAATTTGAAGTGCCCCCATTCAGCTCCTGCAAAGTCAAGGGTGTCAAGGATGAACTTTATTTCGTCATCATCACACAAGATGACCGACAAGAACGTCCAAGTTAAACCTCTTTCTAAGGTTGCAGCAACCCCCAATGCTAAGGTGAGACCATCACCTCCGGTGACCACTCCAAGGAATAATCAAAAGAAGGTTTCCAATGTAGAACCGTTTAGAAGTGTTCAGAGCAAGAAAATGTTCACTGTTGATGTGCCTAAGAGCAGAGTGGTGTCTAAGGCTCTTGTTTTTCACTCGCCTAAGAAGGTCATAAAGATCAAGAGTTCTATGGAATTAAAAACACCAATGAGAGCACTGTGTTCAGCAATGAAAAAGCTTGAACTCAATGGAGTCAAGAAGAATGAAGAAAAAGGAAGCAACTCTTTGCCAGTGACTGCCTCCAAAAAGCAATTGAGGGGAAGAGAGGTTAAGAGCCGTGTGTTTGATTCCTTGAGTTCTAATAACCGTAAGGAACCAGAAACTAACTCCATGTCAAGTTTGAAGGAGAAGAAAGTGAAGAAAGGCACTCAGAAACGACAGGTTGCTAAGCCTCATCAAAATGACTCTAATGATATGGAGATAGATGAGAAATCTAGATGTGGTTCTCTAGAAGGATGCCATGAATCAGGAACTTAAGCGAGTGGTGCTGAACTATCTCTTGGAGATGTAATTTCCCAAGAACCAACAAGAGGGGAGAGCTTAGTTATAGTTCAAGTTTTGTCAGAAGCTTCGGAATGTGACACTACCTCACTGTCAAATTCCAACAATAAAGAGAAAATGACTAAAGAAAGGAGTGAAAATGAAGAGATGAGGAACTCGGTTTCTGCAAAGGGAAAAGTTTCTGAATCCACCAAGAGAAAGGCTGAAGAAAAATCATTGGCTTGTTCTGATGACAAAGAAAATGGGAGGCAGCTCATTGAAAATGATGACAAGGAAAATGCTTCAATAGTTCATGAAAATATGTAAGGAATTTAATTTCTTTTAAAAATGTTTGACTCTCCATTGTTTTCTTAAATTTGGTGAAATCAGTGAATTCTTGGCTGCTGCAGAGAGATGAGTACCGATAACGACGTGCCAAAAAAGAAAGCTATTCTTGGGAGCAAGCATGAGTATGATTCGAGAAAAACACAAAAGGTCTGGTTTTAGTTATATTAATGATTACTTTCAGTCTCACTTTATTGAATGATTTGACTGTGTATATAACGTTTATGAGTTTGACCTTAAAACAGAAATCTTCATCGACCACAACTGCTTCTCCAGTTGTGAATTACAGAAAATTACAGCCCACAAATCCCAAGCCTTTTAAGCTGAGAACTGATGTAAGTAAGGGAAGGGGATTGTGTTTAAGTTTATTTACTTGTTAAAAAACAATTTATTTTAATCAATTGTGATACGTGTTATTTTTTGATGTTGCAGGAAAGGGGAATTCTTAAAGAAGCAAACTTGGATAGAAAATTTCTCTCACCTTTAAAAGAAACCGCAGTTAAAGGTGGTGGGATGGCAATGGGGAAACATCAGATTGTAAACCGAGTGAGTTCAGTTCCATTTTGAACCTTTCGTCATTATTGAATATAAAAAATTTGACCTTTTTCTTTATTTTCTTTCAGAAAAGTGAAACTATTTACACAAAAAGTGAATCAGACACTGATTATTATAGAAGTTTTGATGAGAAATCACGCCCAAAAACACAGGAAAACCAATCTGTAAGTTCATGCACAGAAGAACATGTTAACCTATAAATATTTTAGCATAAACAGTATTTTAGACAATGACTGAAGACTTCCCAAAATGTTACGCAGGGTGGCATTCAAATTGACAACTCCCGCTGCAAGGTGCAACGTAAATTATCTGCTACAACACCTTATAAAAAAGATCCTCAGAAACCCAATGATGTGAATGATAAATTCAAAAGAAAATCCGAAATGACGCAGCGTAAAGTTCTGAGGCCTCTGAGGTAAGTAATAGTCTGATTCTGAAACATGTATTTGTAGTAAGCAACTTTGATTACAATGGAAATGTCTATTGCAGTGCTTTACCAAGGAAGAAAGAAAAGGTTGTCAATGCAACAAAACTTAGTGTTATTATCGAAAAGCCATCAGGTATTGTGAAGCCAAAGGCAGCAAAGCCACGTTCTTGGGGTAGGAAGGCATTAACTGTTCCTATCGAACCAAAGTTTCACCGTCTACATGTGCCAAAGGATTGCAACAACAGGAAACACACTTGAGAAATTATTTATTGGGGACGGAGTGGCGTTGTTCAATATCATCATTGAATTTAGTTAACGTGGAGAGAACTTTTTTTTTTGTTACCACAGCATTAAAATCTGTGGTAATTATAAGTTCAGACACGATTCTTTTGTACTACTATTCCTTTTTTTTATTTTTAGTAGTTAACGTGGAGAGAACATTTTTTTGTTACCACAGCATTAAAACGTGGTAATTGTAAGTTGAGACACGATTCATTTGTACTATTTGATTTGTGAATAACATTAATTCTTTTTGGTGATCTTTATAAAATCCTCTCAACTGATTTAACCTTTTAAACAATTAGTTAAATTAATTGCAAACAATAAATTCATCAATATTTTGTAATTATTCCGAAGCTACCGTTATTATATTAAAAACAGTATAAAAGTGAAATAAGACTTTGATATTAATGAATACATTTTTATTCTCAAATCAGATTGCAAGAAAGGAACTTTATCAATCATTTAAAATATCCATTATTTTCTTTTTATAAAAACATATCAATGAATTTAAAATAAATAATGGATGAATTATTGACTTTTTGTAAAAATAGAGAAAATAATCCCACGTTATGCCTACATAACCATGATAATTTAACACAAACAAGAAATTTGGTTGATCGGAGTGTTTTTGTTATGACAATGACAAAGACAACTCAATTTTACACTGTATGCTAGTGATTTTGAATACATGACCACTTCAAATGTTTTGCTTGTAGACATCAAACTCGTAGATTTTGCAGCATTTGATTAGCCAGAGTCCTTATTTGCTTTCTCTACTCTCTTCATTCCCCTTTGTTCTTGATTATGTTTTTTAATTTCTCATTTGCAGCCACAAGCTCAGCAGTTATGCCTGGTTCATTGGCTGAATGCCCTGCATCTGGAACCACCTGTTTCATCGTATGATTCATTAAGTTGACCATGCTATGCATATGATTATGTGGAAAAACTTCTTAGTTCCTAATTGCCTGTGAGTTTCTTGATAAGAAACCAAATCTAAGAAAATATCACTTTAAGATCTCTATCCTGAAACTTCATTGATAATTAGCATAGCATGCAGAAAAAACAAACAAAAATAGCAAATGATCAAAAGCAACATTTTAGTCTCACCCTAAAATCTGCCTCTGGCCAAGCTTTATGAAGATCCCAGGCTGACATCATAGGACAGCACATATCATATCTTCCCTACAAAGTTAAGAAAGAAACGCATCAAGAATCTACATTTTAGAGGCTACAGCATTAAGGTTATTTTACCTGCACGATTGTGGTGTTGATATGCCTAATTTTATCAATGTTGTCCAACAGGTATGAATCAGTGGGGAAGAATCCCTTGTTCACAAAATAGTGGTTTTCAATCCTTGCAAATGCCTGATAGAAAAATATATTTGTTATCACTCATGAGCACATGTTAAAGAATCTCAACCACAAACAACTATAAAACACAAATGTAAATTAATCCTAAACTAAAGAGAAAAGGTTTTAGACTCCTTTGTTTATTCTTTTTCTTGTATGTATATCCAAAAAGCAACTCTAATTGACTAGGGATTTTCTGACTTTACAAATTTTGACAAGAGAGAAAACAAGTTTAAAGTGCCTAAAGAAGAAAGGGCAGTGCTAGGCAAAAACACTAGTTTGTCACTCTGTCCACTTATTTTCCTCCTTTCAGACTGCAAAAGTTATTAACCATTTCTCTACAAGAGAAAAATGTTTTCCACGAACTAATAACGGAATTCCAGAATACCCACAAGACCAATAGAAACATTTATATGGAACAGAGATTTGTAAAGTTGTGCGCTTCAAACAATGGCATATTATTTTTTAAGAAATACATTTGAATTGCAAATTTTACACAAACAATGGCATATTATTTTCAACCATTCAAAACAGAGAGATTGATAGATTTAGGAGAAGTAAACGTTACAAATTATGAACGTTACACGGCACAGTGGGATGGGATTTGGAAAGTAAATAGCAGACACTTTTCAGACAACAACCAGGTTATTCTTAACTTGATGAACTTACCAATGAAAAGTAATCATCATCCCCTTTTTTGATATTATCTTCATTTGGGAGAAGATGAGCAGTCATCATTTCCCATTTAGTCCATGCTCTAGCAGCTGCATACTAAGAACAAAGGCATAGATAAGTAAACAAGAAAAAATCTTGAATTCATTCATAAATCACATTCAAACAAGTACTGTTCTGGAAAGGGGTTGATATCTTTTGGCTGCAATTGGACAAGGGAAGAGAAAAAGAAAATGTTAGGGCTGTCTTTATACATTTAACAAAGAAACTGTGCCCCAAACCTCCTCAGTCAAACAGAAAACCCCGTGTGCGGTGGCATTGAACATTTCAATATATGCAAGAAAGCCACTCTAGACAGTCCAGTTTCAATATATGCAAGAAAGCCACTCTAGACAATCCAGTCAGGTAACGTACTCATAGATAAGCTCATTATTCGTCATTTCATATTCGAAGATATGTTGGAAACATGGTATTGTAAAGCATAGATTTCTAGACTAGTTCTAAGAAGAGTTAAGGCCAAAAAGAGGAAGCAGCAGCTCTGAAACCAAACTAGTATTTAAAGAAGTCTTGTTATGATTATGGGAGGACAAGATGAAGAAAGGCATGCTGAGATAAGAAAACCACTGAGACACTAACCTGAGTTTCGATATCATTGGAGTTTAATCTCTTATTATAGGCATCAACGAAACATCCTCTCTCACTTTCAGGAATAAGATCTCTAAATGGCTCCCAAGCTGACATGAGACAAAATGCACCAATATCAACGACTTAAAACTTAAAAGTCAAGATTCTGATGAGCAGAAAGCCAGAAATCAAAATCAAGTCAAATATGAGATTATGCAAAGCTACAACGGAAAACATCAAATTATTAAAAGAATATAGAATAATACAAAACTGCCACATAATTTCATACATCAAATAAGTCAAACCTCCTCGAATCATTAAAAGGAAACCTTATTATGCATGGCAATTATTCAAACTTAATGCACCAGAAAATTAGATGAAAAGACAGCTCCATACCATCAGGATATATTGCAGCAGCTCATAAAACCAATCAATTTCTTTCTTCCTTAGGAGGAAAATTCCCCTGAGGATAATGCCAGTAACCTTGTAACAAAATGATAATAAGGTATTTTAAAAAGTGAACAACATAGCATGGAAACAAACTCCGTAATTATATGGAGTACACAATCTTGAGCAGTACTGGAAAAATAATAGTAATAATAGAAATATAACAATAATAATAATAGTAAAAGGAGACATCATTATGACATAGTAAGAAAGAAACCAATCATAACCAAGAACAGAGTTAAACACCTTGTCTGGGTGAGCTTGGCTGTATGCAAGGGCAAGGGTGCTTCCCCACGATCCACCAAATACCTGCAAATCATACAGGTCAGAATATCATATCTAATTACATAAGAATAATGAATCACAAAATGTATACTGAACACAACCGATGGTGTAAAATAACCTGCCATTCTGGAATTTCCAAATGTTCTCGTAGCTTTTCAATGTCATCAATGAGATCCAATGTGGTGTTTTGCTCTAAGCACGCATGTGGTGTGCTTTTCCCTGCACCTCGCTGATAAAGACAATAATTGTGAATTTGTGCTATAGCACAAAAGCACGGGAGACCATTACTGCACTCAGAAACTAACCTGGTCAAATAGAACGATTCGATAAAAGTCCGGATCAAAAAATCTTCGGTTGCTTGGGGAAGTTCCTCCTCCAGGGCCTCCATGAATGAAGACAACCGGCTGTCATAAAATGCTTAGAAAATGATGAATCAAATTTTCTTTTTACCGTTATTTACACTTTCCCCTCAAATTAAATAAATATAAAACAACCAGATGGTTAATGCGCATAATTTAGCTTTCCCAAAGGATGTAACATGCTTAGATTCATCCAAGCACACATTCATGTGTAAAGATAGGTTTTAGCATTACAGTTCACACAGCTGCATTAATACTTAGAACCACTAAAAAACGGTCCATTGCCTCCCATTCCAATCTTGATCCAAATATAAACATATAAGCCTACTGCATGTATAGAAAGGATAAAAATTAAAAAAATACATATTCAATCCATTGTCGGAGGCGAGTCAATTGCTACTCACATGGCCACTGGGGTTTCCTGATTGCTCCCAGTAGATTGTGTGAAGATCCGAAACCTTCAAAAATCCTGTACTGTAGGGTTCTATTTGCGGGTAGAGATTTCTGACAAGTTTTTCGGATTCATTTTCTGAAGCCATCAAATTACTAGATATTGGTTCAATTCTATGATCAGTGCTTTGCATGCGAATAACTAAGGCCGTTCTGCCTGCGCATCACACCACAACCGCAAATTTTAGAAGACCCTTGTGAAGATATAAATTTATTCAATATAATAATGCAGAAACAGATTTAACAGTAATGAAACACCAACATTGGACGAGACAAGTGACCCACATAACCCTATCATTGTATCACATAATTAATAAACTATCTAAACAGATATGGAAAGTGGAGGGAGGGAGAGAGAGAGAGAGAGAGAGAGAGAGAGAGAGAGAGAGAGAGAGAGGATACCTGAAGAAGGGATTCCTGGGTGAGAGAATGGAAGTGAAATGGGAAATTTGAAAATTAGGGAAGGAAAGAAGGAGGTGAGGAGGGTGTTTGGAATAGAACCCAACTTCATTCTTTTGGGTTTATTATGAACATGTGACAGTGATTATTTTATCCAATTACCATCTGCCAACGAAAAGATCGTGTGCGCTTCCACTCACTACATTGTGTCACCTCGTAATTGGTCATCTTGTCGTGTCTTTTGTTTGCTATAATCCGTTTGTTACATCTAAAATCACTTCCTCGATACAAACAAGGCAATTACAATTACGAATTTATTTAGTTTTTTATGTTTATTATTAAGTGTGAAATTGGATTAAATATATGAAGTATGTCAAGAATATTAGAGCAAATCATTCCACTCAAATATAGATCTAGAGCAAATTTCACATATTACGTACATGGTAGCGAATTACCTTTGCATAAAACATAAGATCTAGCGTATTAAATACCATTTTAGATCATAAAAATAAAAAATTATTTTTCTTATTTTGAAAATATTTAGTTCTCCTAATATTAAAATAAAATACTAATAAACATACGACTCTAAAAAACTGTACATAGTTAATTCAAGTAAATATATACAAATATAAATACCTTGAACAAAAGCATACGTAGACATTTGCTAAGTTTACAATAAGAAATTATGTGTCATAAAGGAGATAATAAAATAGGAAAGATCCTTTTGTCAAATATGGAGATTTAGATTCCATAATTAAGTCCATTACATACAATAATTCGAATAGCAGTAGCAGTGTTTGTTGTTGTTTAGGTTACATAACATGTTACAAAGCTACAAGCTAATCCCAGGAGAAAATACAATTCTATTGAAAAGAGAATTTCATTACCACTACACATATGCTACAAACCTACAACATACAACTTAATCCTCCTTTGGTTTGTCACTCACAGATGGTTCATAATCATACACAGAATTGTTATTTTTAACAAAAAATGAGATAATCTCATTCTAACTGCAAGACATTTTCAATTTATAAAAGAGGTCACGGCCTTGCCAAAATTTCACCTAATTGATCCCAAGACCAAGGCATACGAGTGTTTATCACCCTTTCTCAGCTCAATTTTTGTGCTGCTTAGAAATGATGAAAACTCAAATGTCTGCAGTTGAGAGAAAAAATGTCCATTCTTTGGAACATCTTATTTAAGCATCAATGGTCACAATCATTTTGTTTGGGGTACATGGATCTGCCTCTTCCAGCATATGAACTAACGTTCTCATTGATGGTCTTGAAGCTGGAATTTTGGCAGTGCACAGTAATGCAATTCTCAACACCTTCATGGCATCCTCTTTGAAATGTTCTGCAATAGTAGGATCCACCAATTCAAGAGCCTCTTCTTTGCTCCTGTTAGTGCTGCATACCCAATGCACAATGTCATGATTGTTTCCAAACTCTGGCTCCATTGGCCTCTTCCCAGTTACCAACTCCATCAGAACAACACCAAAGCTGTAAACATCACACTTCTCCGTCACCTTACAAGTGTAGGCATACTCTGCAAAACAATAGATAGAAGTTAACATGACATTTTGTTTTGCCTAATACAAAAAATAAAGTGATTTAAAGCTTACCAGGAGGTAAGTAACCAAGTGTTCCAGCAATGACATTGGTCCAATTGCCTGCTCCTCCACTCAGAATCTTGGCAAGGCCAAAATCTGCAATCCTAGGCTTCCATTCTTCATCCAGCAATATGTTACTGGATTTGACATCCCTATGTATAACTGGTCTATCACACCCATGGTGCAGGTACTCCAATCCTCTAGCAGCACCCAATGCAATGTCATACCTAACCTCCCACCCCATCTTAGACTTCTCTTTACAGGTGTGCAACCTGTCCCACAAACACCCATTTGGTAAAAATTCATAAACAAGCAAACTGCTGTCTTCACTTGTGATGCTACAATAGAGCTTCACAACATTTACATGCCTTATAGAACTAAGAGTGGCCACCTCTGCATCAAATTCTGGTGACCTTGAACTCCTTCTAAGCATAGTTGAGGTGCTCCTGCAACTTCCCCTGTCGCTTACATTTGAAGTCCATATGTGTTTCACTGCTAATTCAGCCCCACCTTTAAGCACAACCCGATAAACATTGCCGGATCCTCCCTTGCCAATCAAATTCTCAGCCTAGATCCCGTTAACGATTTCACTCTCATTGAAGTTTAACACATGGTACTGCTTGACATCCCAGGAAGTAGTCTTCAGTGGCTTCTCAGACTTATTCTGCCTTAGTTTTGTGAAGAGGAAAAACGCTCCAAGCAGAACCATTACAGCAGCAAGGAAACAGACTAAAAGGTTTCTGAGTCTCCTGGAGCTTCTGGATTGCATTGAACATGGTCTGATACCTTTCAAAGTCTGGCTGCATAAGCCAGGATTTCCCATGAATCCGTCTTTGAAGGCTGAAATAGACAGAGGTTCTGGTATGGAACCAAACAACTGATTGTTTGATAAGTCAAGAAGGCTAAGTCTCAGAGACGATAAACTGGATGGAATTTCACCAGAAAGCCTGTTTGAGGACAAGTTCAATGAATTGAGAGTTGGAAGAGAACCGATGCTACCTGGTATAGCCCCAGAAAGAGAGTTGCCAGCAAGGTTTATCTCATTAAGAGAAACACAAGAACCAATGGAATCTGGTACGACACCAGAAAGATTGTTCCCATCTAAAGTAAGAGTGGTTAGTTTCTTCAACTTTCCAATGTTTTCTGGGATGTTACCAGAAATTTGATTTGAACTTAGCTGAATTGTCACCAATGAAGAAGCTTCAGAGATTTCCATCGGTAACTCACCTGCGAACTTATTGTTAGATAACAACAGTTGAGCCAGAGATTCTGCTTTGGCTATATCAGATGTCACTGGACCTTCAAACTGGTTCATTGCAAGATCAAACAGAGCCAAATTTGGCAAGCCCCATATGCCTGAAGGAACTACACCCGAAAGTGAGTTCCTGCTCAGACGAAAACGAACCAAAGATGTGCATTTTGCATACGTTTCTGGTATTGTTCCATTGAAGCTGTTGTTCAAGAGTAACAGTTCATTGATTTGATTGTTCTTGCACAGGAAAGGTGGTATTGGGCCAGAAAGAAAATTGTCTGAAACATCAACGTATTGCATGCCTTGCCAAGAGCCAAGCTTTTGAGGAAGAGGACCAGTGAGGTTGTTAGCATAAAGAGAAAGCTCTGTGAGATTCTTGAGATCTCCAAGCTCCTTTGGAATTTCTCCTGACAACTTGTTCCCAAAAAGGTGAAGGGATGCAAGGTTTTTTAAGGACCTTACCTCAAAAAGATCACCTTCAAGTTGATTATAAGAAGCATCAAAGTTAACTAGACTAGTCAGGTTTCCAAATCCAACTGGGATTTTCCCACTCAGATAGTTATCATATAACTCAAGTTGCCACAGCTTGCGAAGCTTAACTATATCAGCAGGAATCTCACCATACAAGTGGTTGTCAGAAAGCTCAAGATTCTGAAGCTGAGTAAGATTCCCAATCCCCAATGGAATGTTCCCAGTGATGCTGCAATTTGTGAGGTAAAGCCAATACAATTTTTCAAGTTTTAACACCTCCAAAGGGAAAGGATCTTCCTTCAACGGGTTATCCCCAAGACTCAGGAACTGAAGACTAGTTAGATTTCCCAATGATTTCCATGGAAACTCCCCTGAAATTCCACTGAAGTTTAAGTTCAAGAACTCCAACTTGTACAAACTCGACAAATCAGGAACTTCTCCATTGAATGAATTCACACCCAAATCCAAGTGCTTCAAGTTGGTGCACTTCATCAACCCCTCACTGATTCTTCCATGCAAGTGGTTAGACCCCAAAGATATTTTCTCAAGCGATTGAAGCTCACAAAGTGAATCAAAGGGAACAGTACCCTCCAGCTGTTTCTCCGGAAGATTGATTTCTGAAACAAAGCCTTTGGAGTTGCATACAATCCCAGTGAACAGGCACGGAGAACTTGCTTGTGCCCATGAATTAAAAACAGTTACATTTGAACTTTGTATGGAGGACTTGAACTTCATGAGTGGTTCAAGTTCATCTCCGAGGGAAGAAGCAACGAGGCAGAGGAATAACAGGGCAGCAGTGGGAATAATGGGCGCCGAGCAGTACCGGAAATTACTTCCGGCGACCATACCGGCGGTAAGGGCAGGTTGTTAGTGTCGAGTTAGTGCAAGAGTTGGTGGGAGAAGAATGGACTAGAGAGGCTGGTTTGGTTTGGTTTTACGTTGAATTTTGGGTTTTGTTTGGTTTCACACTTGAAAATTATCCACGTGCATGGAATGGAAACAACACATAATGGCAAATAAGGACAAAGTCGGTCTCAACTTTGACTATGCTGCCTTCTCATGAGACTCTTCTTTATTGCACATGTGGTTGAATAATCATTTATATATTAACTAGAAAGTATTTATTAGATATTTCTTATTATAATTCAATATTATTGATTTTTTCCCTAATATATTTGGATTAAAAATATTACAGAAAATTAATAAATGCAACTTAAATATTTTATAATTTATAATTAAATTCTAAATTTATTTAATTGAAATCATATATATTACTTGCATAAGTATTTTGATTAAAGAATTTTTTATATTTAAAATTCTTTTACTTAAATATATATATATATATATATATCATTATGTTATATTCTTTTTAAACAACGTAGCTTTTTGTTAAAGGACGTATTTTAAATAAAACTAAAGTTAAAAAAATCAAAATAACTTGTAGCTTCAAAGGGCTTTTAGTCTAAAAGAAGAAATTCGACACACAATTTCTATTTTTAAGTTTTTTAATTAAAAATTACTTTTAAGACGTGAATTATAAATAAGTTTTTTTTTTTAAGAAAATGAAGAAGAAGAAAACGGTGTATACTTCGATTATTTATTGAATTATTATATTATTCACAGTTAACATTTGTATCGTATATCATTTTAAATTTAAATATAATACAAATGCCAATTGGATATAAAATTATATTATATTATAAGAGAAATATTTATGTAAGCCTAGTGTTCTGACTTCATTTGTGGTAATGTGTTATTTGGTTAAGATTCGTTTACCTAATCGTTGAAATTATGTTTTAAGACAATTTTAAGTACGCGAGTTATCAAAATAA